GGCATCACCCCTGGGCCCCCACCCCCCCCAGGGTGTTCAGTATCCACCCCAGAAGGAGCCTGCAGGGCAGGGCTGCTGTAGCAAAGGGGGACGGGCATGGTGGCTGAGGGGCTCTGCTGGGCTGGGGGCCCCCCAGACACAAAGAGCAAGGGGGGTGCCTTGACCAGGGTGCCCCTGGAAGAGTTTGTGCCCCAGCTCTGGGCATAGGCCCCATGTGGGGGCAGATGCCCGAGGGGGGCTGTGGGCCTTGCTGGGGTGAGCTACAGATCCTGGGGGAGTGGTCTCTGTGCCCAGGGGCTGTTGCCCCTGGGGGCTGTTGTACATGGGAGGGGGAGGCGCTGCCAGCAGCTGCCCCAGGCGTGCTGTTGGCTGTTGCTGGCTGGGTATGGGTCCTGGACCTCCTCCCCAAAAACTGCAAGGAGGTCCCTCAAAGCGTTCCGAAGCCCTGCCTATTCCTATGGGAGGGTACCAGGGTGCCCCTACAGGCCTGGCACTGTCCTTTTCCCCCTGTGCAGGGGCTGCACAGGAGGACTAGCCTTGCTGACCCCCTCCCCAAAACTGACATCCCCCAAACCAGGAAAACAGGTGCCGGGGGACCAAGGTGCAGTGCCTGATGTGATGCTGGGCAGGCAGAGGGGTGACTTCTTTGCCTCCCTCCCCCCCCCAACCCTCCCACACTTCCTGCTGGCCAAGGTACAAAAGGAGAAGCAGGCAGGCACAGCGTGGGCACAGGGACACACCAGCGTCCCCCTGGAAGCCAGCAAGTGCCTCAGGGCACCCCACGGCTCCTGGTCACAGGTAAGGGGGTTCTCTTCCGGGGGGAAACTGAGGCACAGGCAGGGTGGGCAGGCGGGAAGGTGGCTCATCCAAGGTCACCCAAGGGCACCGGGACAGGAACCCAGGCATCTGGAGTCCCGTGTCCTGCTCTGCCTGCTGAGCGGCACAGGACATTCATGCATGCTTGGGCATGCTTAGGCACGCTTGTGCACACACTCCTGTGAGTGCACACGCATCCTGTTGCACACATCCCCCTGTACACACATGTGTGCTCCCCCCAGACCTGTGCCGAGCCACCACCCACGGTGAGAAGCCCAGGACCTTCCAGCTCTGTGGGCACTGTCCCTCGCCCTGTCCCCAGGGTGGCACCTGCTGCCCCCCACAACCACCCCACTGCCCTGTGTCCCCTGGCCCCCTACCCCATGCCCACCACACCCCCAAACCCCATGGCAGCCCTGCAGGCAGCATGCTGTGCCAGGGGCTCTGACTGAGGGGGGAGCTCAGTTTGGGCGGGCTGCATGTTGGGGGCTGTATGCCACCCTTCCCCACCCCCCTGGAGCCCCCCACGCCATTCGTGGTGTGAGCGAGGGAAGCGAGAGCAGAAGCAAAGGCAGCGCTTCCCCCATGCCAAACCCACATCCTGAATCCTGGGGGACAGGGGTGAGGACAGGGACACACCAGGGCAGGGGGAGCTCAGCCTTAGGAGCCCCCCAAGAAATGGGGGCAGAGCCTGGGGGCATTTTGGGACAGGACATATGGACAACTGAGTGGGTACCACAGGATGGGGCACCTTTGCCCACCCCAAACCCCCTACCCCATGTAGTGCTGGGACATGAGCAGGGAAAGGGGGTGCTCGAGCCCACACCCTCTTACCTTAACGGCGGGCAGCTCTGGAGTGGAGCTGAGAGGGGGAGCAGATCATCTCCTTGGGGCAGAGAGTTTGGGAGTGCCAGGTGGGTGCCAGCCTGGCACCTCTCATCGCTGCCCCTGCCTTTGCAGGCCCCCAGGGACAGCCATGGCAGGGGATGGGGAGCTCAACCGCATCATCAAGGACCTGCAGAGTAAGTGTGCCAGCCCGTCCCCTGGCAGCGTGTCCCCTGTGTGGCACATCTCACTCTGGCCATGCCAGGTTCCTCCTCGCACCCAGCCCATGGGCAGCGGAGGGGTATCACTGCCGGGGGTGCTCCAAAACATCCCAGTGCCAACCCTTCCACTGCTGCCTGCTCCCGTCCTCACTGCCAGCCCCAGGGGACCGGCAGGGAGCTGTGGGTACCTGTGCCCCTCACTCCCCCTGCTCCTCTGTTTCATCGCAGGGCAGGTTCCTCTTTCACCCACCAGCAGAAATCCCCAGGACCAGGAGGCCATGGGGAGTGGGGGGGGGACGGGGGGAGGGTCAGGGCCATGCCAGCTCAGCCCTGCCATCCCACAGGGACTGTGGCCGAGCTGAACTGCTGCTATCGGGAGCAGAACCTGCCGGTGACGGACGGGAGCCGGGAGCTGCACAGCCTCTGTGCCCAGCTGGAGTTCCTCCTCCAGGTACCACCGCTCCTCCATCCCCACCACTCCCTGCCTCAGTTTCCCCTCAGCAGAGCTGAGAGCAGAGGGGACCCCTCACCAGACATTTTGGCGGGGGGGGAGGATGATGCCAGCCAGTGTTGTCCAGCCCTGGGCATCCCCAGCCATGCAAGCACGTGGACTAGGCTCACCCACATCCACATGTGTAATTGCACATGCTGCAAAAGGGAAACTGAGGTACAGAGCCAGTGAAGAGGGGACAGCCAGGGGACACCAGGACCCACCCTGCTGGGGGAGCTGGCTGGATCCCAGCCACACAAGGGACAGGCTGGGGGGACAGGAGACACCCCCAAACAAGCAAGCCCAACCTTGTGTCTTTGCCAGTTCGACCTCAAGGAGAAGAGGAGCTTCTTTGGGCAGCGCAAGGACTATTGGGACTTCTTGTGCCAGGGCCTGGCACGGCGCCGGCAGGAGCACGAGGGTGTTCGCTTTGTCACCTCTCTGGACAAGGTGGGCACAGGCTGGTGGGGCACCTGGGGTCTCGTGCACGCACACATGCACGCGCTTCTGCTTGTGCACACGGACTTGTGCATGCGCGCACATTCACTTGGCACTGGCACTATAGAGGGTTTTCTCCCTTCTGGGATCTCTGCTGCCCCCCAGCCCTGGCCCTGGGGACCCCCTTTCCCCCTGCATGGGCTAGGGGGGAGGCATGTGGGGAGCAGACTGGTGTGGCAGGGCTGGATAACCCCCTCTCCCCCCAGCTGAAGACCCCCGTGGGCAGGGGCCGAGCCTTCCTGCGGTACTGCCTGGTGCACCGGCAGCTGGCAGAGTCCCTGCAGCTCTGCCTCCTCGACCCAGAGAGCCTCCGGTAAGAGCACGGGGCACAGGGAGGGGATGCCTGCGGTGGAAGGGGGCACAAGCAGGGCAGGCAGTGCCCTGCAGCACCCAGCCGGTAAGAGTGCTGCAGGCACATGTGCCCACCTGGTGCATGGAGGGCTGCGTGAGCCCATTTTGTGGTTGCAGTGAGTGGTACTACGCCCGTAGCCCCTTCCTGAGCCCCCAGCGCCGGGCAGAGATCCTGGGCAGCCTCTATGAGCTCAATGGCATCACCTTCCACCTGGCCCTGTGCAGGGCTGACCTGGACACCGCCTGGCCTATGTTCTCCGAGTAAGCCTGGGGACACTGGGGGCATCGGGGGTACTGGGGGCATTGGTGGCACGGGGTGCCAGGGATATCAAGAGCACCTGGGGCTCAGCATCACAGAGCAGCACAGGGGCATTGGCCCACTGCCTTGGACCCCACGTGGCACCCTGGCTGTGCCAGCCCTGCATGCGTAGCCCCAGGCCGGCACAGACACGCCATGCGCGCCGTGCCCGTGCCTGCAAACATGCCACACATGCATGCACACACACCCCTACTGCCATCCTCTGCCAAGTAAATGCCCAAGCACAGGTTTGCTGCAACACCGTGACACTGTGACATCTGAGACACAGGGGCATGTGTGGGTGCATGTACACCCTTGCCCCCAGGCACACTTGAGGGGGGCACTCATGGATGCAGGCACTCCAGCACATTCACACCCATTTTGTTTGCTTGCATGCTCGTGTGCATGCACTGCCACAAGCACACACGCAGCTCCAAATTCCCCCCTCCAACCACCACGGGGGTCTGTGGGTGCCACCTGCTCTGTGGGTGCTCAGGCTGGCCCACCCTGTCACCAGGTGCCACCTGGCATCACCAGTCCTGCTGCCTTCTCCATCCCCAAAGGCTGGCTGTGCCCAGGGAGCTCTGAGGGAGGGTGGCAGTGCCCTGCTCACTCTGGGGGTGACCTGGTGGCCCTGAGCCCCATGTCCCCTCTAGGACACTGGTACGGTCCAGCCCGGTGGCCAGGAGCAGCCCATCAAAGGTGGCCCTGCAGACAGACGATATCAGCACCACGGCTCATGGATGGCCTGATGGCATCGCCCATCCCACTGCGGCACCCTACGGGGCGCCAGGCCACCCGTGCCCATCTGCTTTGGCTGCCCTGCACACCTCCCCGTCTACCCCACCAGTAGAGGTGAAGGATGTGGAGGGAGATGTGGCGGACATGGAGGTGAAGAAGGATGTGGAAGAGAAGGATGAAGAGGAGGTGGAGAAGGAGGAGGAAGAGGAGGAGGTTGAGGTCGTAGAGGTTGACGCGGAGAAGGATATGGAGGTGGACATGGAAGAGGAGGATGAAGAGGAGTTGGAGGAGGATGAGAAGGACATGGAGGACGTGGATGTAGAGGAGCTGGAGGATGCACATGGCGCTGGCAAAGCGCCCCAGCCCGATGGTGATGGGGAGCCTGGCACGTCCCCACCGCCCAGCACGGGGTGCATGCCGGGTTCCCCACCACCAGTGCCTGGCCAGCTG